TAGCCCCCTTCACCCTGTTGACTGATGGTCAGGACCTCCACAGGACCACCATCGAACGGGGATTATTTGGTTGGTGAATCATTTTTAATACTACAGTGACACTGACGTGGTTGTGATGTACGTGTGTGTGTTTTTAAATAACTTTTTAAACTACGCTCAGTGAGGGTGGTGGGTCGTTTATTTGAATATCCCCTTGGTTGTGAGGGTCCCCTTGGTTGTGAGGGTGTTCCAATCAATTTCCTCCCCAAATTTAGTCATAACCGGTTCCTAGTTAGGACTCCCCCAATCACACGATACCACCAGCACTACGAACGCTTGGAGGATAACACTAAATGCCAGTTCTGTAACGTCAGCTAACAGACGCTTGTCTGACTAGCATTTTGCTGAGTGATGGAGGGAGAGGTACGGCCATTCTGTCCACCCAGAGAGAGCAAGGCCAGTCGTGCTGTCTTGGACTCCTGGCCACTGGTGGCTGTAGCATCACGTGGGAACGAACTTGCGATCTCCTGATGATAGGACCAAGGATGGTTCTGCCACTCGGGAGCCCCAGTCTCTGTGGTTTGAGGTCAACATGATATCAATGTGTCTGATTCATTGAGAGACAAACCAGGGCAGCATTCTCACTTCCTCTCTAGTGTGTGTGTGTGTGTGTGTGTGTGTGTGTGTGTGTGATAGAAACTGTGAGGAAGATATAAACAGAAGTACCGAGAGGGCACTCTTGTACTTTGCTGCTGTAGGGTTGAATATAACTGGAAAACAAGCCAGCCAGACAGAGCAGTTGAGAAATACAGCAGTAGAGACGCAGTGGCGCAGCAGTGCTTTATCTCACCATGCTCAGCTTCAACACCTTTAAACGCTACAGCAGAGATGAGGAGGAATATGACGACGTGTTTATCTGCAGCGGGACGCAAATGGTAAAAGGAAAAAAAAACTGTTACATAATTGCTCTTTAGTTTAGCTGCACCTGTAAGATAAAAAAGGTACTGTAAAACAGAACGAGTGCGAGTGAAGTGTCTACCAGTGGCTGACCAAGCAAGCAAAAGAGTGACTCTTCACTAGCTGCTTACTTTCCCTTCTGTTTCTCTCTTAAATTCATTATTTTTACATTTCAGCTACTGCACTAAAGTATCCTAAATGGAAACTAGAAAGTGTATAAAGGTTCCTTAACTACTAAACAAATAGATTATTGCATTGCTATTCACAGGATAAATTCAGGAAATCTATACCTCTAATTTGTTCTGTATTATTATATATGGGAACATCTTACTTTTGCTGATGATGTGCTCTGCTTTCAGTTTGTCAGAGTGAATGTATTTGTATTTGTATTGGGACCATTTACACAGAACATTCCTTCATCAAAACCAAGAGTTTAATCTGTGACTTAGTAAAGCTAATTAAGCATGTAATGATTTAAATACAGTATTGAAAAAAAAAAAAGCTGTATCTCTGAACTTCTCTCGCTCTTTTGAAAACTAGCCATCTGGGTGCATCTGATCTAGTTTCGTTGCTCAGTTGCATTGTCCTATAAGATCATTGTTTTACACAGTGGCATACTACTTTGTAATGTTTTGTTTTTAAAATAAAAATTGGGTTTTCAATCAGTCAAGACAATCTGTGTAATTGGACCTCATGTAGAATCAGGGCACTTTTAGCTAGGACACTTTAACAGTTTGGAGAGGATATCTAATTGCGATTTTCGGCCCAATATTATGGCTGCATTTTAAATTGTGAGCATTCCTGTAAATAAAGGCCTATTGTTTTGTCATTTAGGCCTGTTGTTTTGTCCACGAAGACCAGCATATGGTCAGCATATCCACTTTTTCTGGCTTTAGGCTTAAACACTGCCAGTTATTTGTGGTTGTGGTGCCATATATACAGCACGTGCTGTGTTGTTTTTGGTCTAAGTCATCTACATGTTATTTGGTTAAATTTCCCCACCTGAAACATATGACCATAATAATTATTGTTAATAAAAAGGGCTGTGAGTAAATTTGCAGCTTTTGTGGTTTGAAAATTGCATTTTTCAAATTGCAATTTCAGTATAAAAATGAACCTCTCAGTTCTGCTTTTAACACACAGTATAAAAAAAACATCTTGAAATTCTAAGTGAAATCATATAGAATCTGAAAATAGATGTTGTTATATCCCTAGTGCAAATACACACTCAGTTTCATTCATACCATTTTATGTGAAATGACTCCTAAAAGGTAGAGCATGTCGGCTAAGCTTGTTTAGCTAATATTTTCCACTTACTTTAATAGATCAGGGAAAAGTTCTCACCTGGGATTCCAAATAGCATGTTGTTTCTGTAGTTTTCCTGCTATAAAATATCAAGACAGAGTCATTCATGAATGGGACTAGGTGTATAAAGGCAGGAAAAACAGGAGAAACTGTGCAGGAATCTTTGAATCTTAAACACTGGAGAGAGGAACCCCTGATTATTCATACACTTAAGACTTAAAGAGAGAATAATACACAACATGTTCATTGAAACATGTTGCATTGCCAGTTTATTTTTTTTCAACAGTCTCCGTGACGGAGAAGGAGGAGAGATGAAATGAAATGTCAGGAATCTCTCTTTTTTCAGCACTACGTTGTAATGCAGGATATTGAAGAATTGAACATGGAGTCCATCATTAAGGCTTGTAGCGATATTTCAGTATGACAGGAAGTTCCACATGTATCCGTCTGTGAAGAGCCTGGATTCATCCGAATCCTACTTCTCAAAAATGCCATCTGCCGGAAATAGCTAGCCCATGGCTTTTGGCATTTGAGTGTTTTGTATGATTTGGTACGGGTTCAGCCTGTAATGAGTTACTGCTTGGGATTGTGGATTTCCCTTGGGGCCGCACAACAGGAACAAAATACTAGTATTATGGTTGTATTGTTACATGTTGCAATTGCCGTGGTCTCAAAAGAGAAATGCCTGAGACACATTGGTGGATATTGCCATATGGTTAAAGATTGGCCTACTTTTGCCTCAGCAGAATAATAATAATAACTTTTGCGTGATTATATAAATAACTTGATTTATCAAAACGCCAACAGAAATTCCTCTAGAGCTGTGATTGGTCAGGATGTTCACAGCATGCATTTAAATTATTGGTTTGAGGCTGATTTACATATTTTAGCTTTGTGTGATAACAGTATTACAAATGATAATATTGCGATAACAATTAACAAATGATGTGTATTGTGCAGCACATAACTGTACCAGGCTCCTGTCTCTCTGTTGTGGAGGAACAATACTGAGAACTTTCTAATTTGCAGAACTTTCTAGTTTCTAGTCAGATGTTGTCCTTTTCTAGGGGCCACAGACACTGACTTGCTGTTTGAGTAAGGCCACGATTTAAGAGAGGGAGCAGGAACAAGTGTAGAGAGAACCGAGAGAACAATGTAGAATTCCTCAGTAACCTGGATAACTTGGGTATAAAGTGAGGATTGTCCTGTAGGAAAGTCACTCAGCTGTCCTCCTATTGGACAAGCTTGACTTTTGGCTTAAGTTATTTCACTAACTAAGCACTAGCTATAGGGCTGATTGGAGAATGGAGGCTATTTCTGTCCTTCCACTGCATATTATTCAGGGTTTAATCTGATGGTGTTTGAATTGTGTGTTTTCTTAACCTCAGTGCTCACAATGGCTGACGCCGAAACAACACTGCACTGCTGCCATCCCTATTGAGACTGCTAAGCATGCTGTGATGTGTGTAGAGGGGCTGTATGTGGTAATAGGTTTTCAAACTGTCTTTTGTTAGTTTAGTCTTTGTAAATAATCCCTCTCTTAATCTGTCTTGACCTTTTATGCTGTCACTGTATTTTTCTTCTGCACCTTGTCTCTGTTCTCTGTTCCGCACTTCCACATTTCTGTTTTTTCTAAAGAATTCTCCTTTTCATTCTGAAAGTGGTGAGTTACGTGGTGAGTTATGATGATGTACATTTACTCAGCCAGCATTCTTGCAGCACACGTCTACTTAGAAATGTTACTTTTTACAGTAATTTTGTTTCAGTTGTGGTTTTGTTATATATTATAATATTAGTATATCACAATAACTAATGTTACTTTTATGTCAGTTTGTTGGACCAAAGGGTTGCCTGATGTCCTCTTATGTGGAACTTCAGTATAATCCGTGTCGAGTACGGCGAGTCCAGTTGCAGATGGACACAGTATGTTGTAATGTTTCTCTGGACCATGTGATGTCTGGTTTCCACGGCAGCACTTCCTCTCAAATCCAGGACTTCCTCCCTGTTGCCAGGTTGCTGTTAGTGACCTCTCATTTTCTTCCCCATATCTCACCTGTGAACTCTGCAAAATAGTTTTTGTTTGTCTGTTTGTTTTTTTGTTTGGTTCTGTTAGTGTTTTTGTTTTTTAGTTTTTTTTGGCGAGCTATCAGAAACGGTTGACTCAGTTAGAGCTTGGCTCTGTGGGCGGCAGCAGACGAATTAGTAGACATTCCTTGGCTTGATCTAATGGATCCAATTTGCAGCCTGTTCACTGTTCGGAACAACAAATAAAATTTGTAATACTGTTTTTTTTTTGTTTTGTTTTGTTTTGTTTTGTTTTTTCTGTGGGTGCCCTTCAGTTGGTTCGGTTGTTAGGAGTTTACCTTTCGTTAACATAGAGCATGGCTATTTATTGATTCTTGAAAATGCCCTAGTCTTTTTCTCCAGACCCTTAGAAGAAATTGTTGGCAAAAACAAAGGCATAGTATGATTTGAAACCAACAGAGAAATTCTGTTCAAACTTTCAAATGATACCACATTTATTAGTAAGTAGAAGAGAAACTATTTTGAATACAGTGTTGTACAGTAGTTACATTTTTTCTGTTTTTTCTATGTTTCTATGTTGTCATTGACATTGAAATTGAATGCCGACTCAAACCTGTCAATATGTAATGTAAATTGACTGTAAATGTAATTAATTGCATAACTAACCATGTGAATATTTGTCTTATTTAATAATTATTCCTCTCTCTTTCCCTCTCTCTCACTCTGCCCCTCAGACGGTGTCACCCACTGGACAGGGCCGTCCGGAGTCCCCCGTCTACACTAACCTGCAGGAGCTGAAGATCTCTCAGTCCTCTCTGCCCCCCATCCCCTCCTCCTCTCCCCTGCATGTGCTGGGTGACTGGGAGACGCATAAAGACCTGAGTGGGAGGCATTTCTACTACAACCGTACCACCCAGGAAAGGACCTGGAAACCACCCCGCTCACGAGACACCAACGGGAGCAGCCGCACAGACACAGCCAGCACTGGAGACATGGAGGTAACCCACACACAGATGTGAATACTGACAAGAAGCATAAATAATGTAATTTTTTAAAAACTGGAATCACTATTCAGAATTTTGCAGTTGCAGAATTGCAGTGGTTTCAATAATATGAAGGCAAATTTGGTGCAAATACTTACATAAAATGATTAAAATGTGCCGCTACTACTGTACTTCATATGTTTCAAATCATTTAAAGGAAGGTGTAAAAAGTGTTAAAGAGCCCATTTCATGGAAAACTGAATTCTCTTCACTTTTTCTACAAAAGAGTTAAACTTCCTGTTAAAGTTTCAAACCATATATTTCACTTCCTAATCCACGCAGTTGTATATGTAATCTATTTTCAGACACTTCAAGAACATGTTGAATTCATTGTTTCTGTGATGTCATGAAATTATATACAACATTATTTACATTTACACTTTTACATTCACAGCAGTTTAGCCCAGTATGTTCATGTTAAGGTTATGTGTTTTAGTAAAGATTACTTTTTGAATTAGGCACAATGCAGGGCCACCAATCAGAAAACTGGTCATTTGCATATGGCAGTCTTAAAGGCACAGTAACAAAAACTGCCTGCGTAATTCTGAGGGGTGAAGAGAGAGGATGGCAAATGGTCATGTAAAAATAACGGATTGTGTTTGGTACATAAAACCACATCTAAGTGTTGTAAGTGGGCCTCTAGAAGAGAAAATAAAATACAGGAAAAATGTAAGATAAATGTAGAAAAATGGGCCCAGGGTAATGAATGAAGCAGTAAATGCAGTTATGCAGTAATGCAGTTAACATCTGTAATATAATGTGTTTTAAAACCAGTGATTGAATTTCAAAGCAGAATATTTGGCAAGAAATTATTATAAGTGCAATATTTTATTTACTATTATCGTTATATATATTTTCTTCTGTCAGGTTGAAACTATTTCAGTCTACACTGTATGTGCTAGTCATAAATATAATAACAATTGTTCGTATAGCAATTCCAAACCTTTAACCAGTAATGCACAGCACAGTAGCACAGTACACTGCTGCACTGAAATATTGTAAGCTTACAGTGGTACATATATATGTTAGGATCAGATCTATAGTATGCTTCAAAATTCATACACAACCTCAAGCTGAACGAGCAGGACATGGAGACATTTCAGAGTAACTCTAACAGCATGAGGTTTTTCACTTGCAAACCTCACTGTTGTGCATTACAGTGCTAGTCGGATGTCCACAAGAATTGACTTCATGCAGAACTAGACAGCCTCTTCACTTATCCTTACACACACACACATTCACACAACACACATCATCTGTGTCCATAGAACTGCTTAGTAAAGTTAGAATGGCGTCATTGTTGCGTCAGTCAGACAATGTCGATATTGTGTGAATTGTCGCAGTGTTATCGTGGGCAGTGCTGTATCGCCTACCCTTAGTGGCTACGCAGTCAGAGTCAACAGTTTATATTCCACACCTCAGAGATGTCCAGTCACTGCACTTTTTTGTTCTCAGTCAACTCTAAACACATCTTAGCCACGTGACCAAGGACTGAAGGCTGATTAAACTAAGCTCAGGTATGTCAGAAGCAGAACACAAAAACTAGAGACTGGTTGGGGATCCCTGAAGACTGGATGGACTGGAAGCCTGTTAATGTGTTTAAACTAGGGCAGTGTTGAAGTAGGTCTCTATTCTATAATTAAAACTTCTGAAAATCCTATCCAGATATTTAAGATCCACCAGATTTTAACTGACCTAGCTTTTCTGTGGGTGTCTGAATTTTTGTATGTACATCTGTTATGGTGGAAATATGACTGAGACAAGTTCTTCAATGTGCTAGGTAAAGTTTTGCTGTGGTTACAGAGTGGACTAATATGAGCTTGTGCCAGTCAGTGTTCCAGAGGACAGAATGTGCCCTGATAATGCATGAGATGACGTGATGACGTGCGTGTGTGTGTGTGTGTGTGTGTGTGTGTGTGTGTGTGTGTGTGTGTGTTTGGACCCCAGTCTTTTGGAGAGGCGGAGAGTATGTTGTGCAGGGTTAGATCAGCATAGATTTGTTCTAGCGTAACACTGCCATCTTGAGGTTAAAACAGCAGAACTGTCAACTGTAAACTGTTGTGAAGTTGTTGGATGACTTCATGTGTTTGTTCTCAGATACATCATCACTGTTGTAACAAAACCTCATAACTCCAAAGTGGTAACTTTAAAGGAGAAGAAAAATGTTATTTACTTTAATACATGTTAATGTAGTAAGATAATTAAGTCATTTTGGACCATTTCTATTGGTCGGTTTGTCATGAAATGTTCAAACAAGGTAAAGGGCAACAGGCATTGTCAAATTCGCACACAAATGTTGTAAAAAAATAAAAATAGGTAGCTTTATTCCTAAGTGTTGTATGAATTAAAATATACTTTGATTTGGCAATCGATTAAGCTTGTTACGTGTTAATGACCCTTCCAGATACAAATTATATTTAAATGAATGTATTAATATTTGATAGAAAGCAAAGCATTTGTATTTCTAAAAGAATCTAAAATAAACACTTTTTTGGTCACTGCAGAATTACGTGTTACTACATAGTTTTGTTACCTTCACTATTATTCAAAAATGTGGAAAATAGTGAAAATAACATAGTATAATAGTAATAAACCCTTTTCCCTGGTAGGCTACATATTCTAGAAGTGCATTGCACCTCATCCTGGACTTTGTTTGAATGGCTTCTTAACTCATTTCTCTCTTTTTCTCTCTTTCTCGCTCTCTCAGCCGCTGTCCTCTGAAGAGAACTACCTGAGCACTCACTCCAGTCAGTCAGACAGTCAGTATGGATCGCCCCCTAGAGGCTGGTCCGAAGAACTGGATGAGCATGGCCACACACTTTATGTGTGTGAATACAATAATGAGAAGGTTCCCGTCCCTTCTTTTCCACTATCTCTATGTGAATCATACATTTTTAGTTTATTATTATCCATCTTATTTTGGATTAGCGTTGTCATTTGCATTACTTTGTTCATTCCTCAAAAAAGTTATTATCCATTCTGACGGTACTTTCTGTGGGTTATCTCCCTTATGTGTCGTGTTCTAGTGGATAAAGCATGTGGATGAGCAGGGCAGGCCATACTACTACAGTGCTGATGGATCCCGCTCTGAGTGGGAGCTCCCCAAAGTAAGAAAAAAAAACACCAACACACACATACTAGTTGTAGAACGTGTAGACGTCGCCTAGTTAGTGGAATAATTCATTGATAAATTGTCATTTACCACAACGAAAAAAGTAAAGAAAAGAAATCACTTGCACTTGGGATTTACCTGCTTTCAGGACCCTCCTGCATGGACTACTGCTTCTGCCACCAGAATGTTTTATTATAAAGATCAGGCATTATTCCTGACAAGTCATTAAGACACCCACAGCACTGACTGGTGGTTATATTACTCAGCTATGCAGCCCTTAACACATGTACATAGACACATAAACCTGGACAATCACAAAGTTTAGTGCCTCTATGTGTCCCCTTCATGCCCTTTACGTATGAGTTTTTGGGGATACACCACGTATAGGCGCACGCAATCACCTTAACCCTCCATTTCCCTTTGGACCCCCTGTGAGCTGTCGGTGCATGGCCAGCGGTGCAAGATCCACAGTGTTGCTAGCTAATCTAAAATTAACCCTGATTCTCTAATCTAGTTAATAGATCAGACATCCAGGCGCTCAGCTTGAGACTCTAGACCACACCTTGTCTGACTGCAGGCTCACACCTCATACCTTCACATTCTCTTTAACACAGCACACGCATGAAGTAAGCCTGGGCGTTGTTTGGGGTGGGGGGGTTTTGAATGGAGTAGGGAGAGTGGACCACGCATGGTGTTGTGGCCAGCGAGGGGAGAGGTAGCTATTCTGCTCTTCATTTGAAAAATGATGTTTTAGTGTTTAGTCTGTTTGTGGATGATCAGATCTTTGTTTAAGTTTTTGTCCTTTCCCCCATTTTGTTAAACATCTAACAAAATGGGGGAAAGTTCCTGCTTGACTCTTTTATACCTCTTTTGTTCATTATTACCTCTTGTCTTTCTTTTTTTGTTTCTCTACAGTACAATCTCTCCCCTCCAAATGCTGGAGATGCTCCCAAAAGTCGCAGTTTAGAAAGGAAGCAGCCAGACCCCATTGTCCTCACTAAGTGGAGATACAGCACCTACGTACTTGACCTTAGTGACAAGGTACATTTACACACACTTACAGCTGCTGTATGTAACTTGTATATGTTCACTGTTGGAAAAATGATCACTTTACAGAAAAAGGAAAGATGTTCTTAAACTTTAATGTAATTTAATGCAGCCGTTATTTATTTCAAGTAATGTGGACCATTTTGGATCATTGGTCCATTTATTATTAAACGTCCAGACATTTACTACTGTTAACTAGTCACAACAATATACTAGTGTTGTGTTTTATGCTTAGATTTGGTTATTTTTGGTTTAGTTGTTGTGTTTAGTTACTCTGTAAAGTCAGTAGACAGTATTGTTGTTCCTGTGCTGAGTGAGAGTGGCTGTGTTGAGCAGCTCACTCCTAATCAGCTCTGACAGCGTTCTCCTGAGACTCAGCACTCTCGCCACCTAATCCACCACAACCACAAGCCTCCATATTCCACTCTGGCTAAGATATGACAAGCAGACAATACAAGCAGTCATTAATGCTGCTTGCTATGGAGGCATTAAACTATGTTTGAAGAGGACAAGTCATGTTTGAAACCAAATCATTTTTGATTTTACATTAATTTTTTCATACCGGCTAACAATATTCTGAACACCAATTACATCACTACTTGATCATTTATTATTTAAGATATTGGTGTTTTGTAGTAACGGGGCAATATATTGTTTTGTCAAGGTCATGTTTGTTTGCTTCGGTCTCAGTGGATAATGCCTAGTTAGAAAGGTGCACCCAAAATACTTTTCATGCTGAAAGGACTAAATATGCATCTTCTGTTGAAGACTTCTTTAGTGTCTTACTTTGAAAACCAGCATGCCATCTGAAAGCCAATTAAGCACCTTCCGCTGCTGTCAGAGGCATTTCTCACTGCCCACAGATCCCGCTGCAGATTAACACAGCCCAGATTAGTTAAGCAGCCTAGTTTAGCTGTTAGTGGGCCAGTCTGGATTTTTGGCAACTAGTGATTGGTGTTGAGGTGTGGAAGCCTGATCTTAAATCAGCTTTCCCAGTTTCTTCTGCCTCTCCATTGAGAACCTTTTAGCTGTTTGGTTGGGTGAAATGTAGAGTTGCAAAAAGAAAGTCAGTGAATACTTTGTGATTGTCTTGATGTCTGTATGAATGGGGTTGTTGGGTTGAGGTTTTGGTGCTGGGACAGTTTTTTTCCTGTTCACATGCTGTGTACGCATTATGAAAACATTCTAACTATTTGTGATGAAGTGACATGCTGTTTTAACCTTTTCTAGTCCGAGGAGCTTCAAGTTTTTCTTCAGAGTTTTTCTGACCGTCTCTTTTGATTGAGAATATATTGCCCTTTAACAGAGCAGAATTGTCTTTTGAAGAGGTCATCATCTTTGTGACTGAGGTTTTCCATCAAAACCATGTGTTTGATAAAAATATGATAATACAAGATATTAAGTCATCTTTTTTTAACCAGCCTTTATTTTTTCATTATTATGATGACCAGATTACCTCTTTTGAAAAATCAAATACAAAAGGCCACACATCCACATTTATTCCCCATGCTTTCAGTGGACACTTTTGTTTAGGTGTTCAGTTGCTCACTTTGAGTTTAATAAAACTATTTGACTTAATATATGGTCTCTGAGCCTCACGTTGTGGCGTTATGGCGTTGTGTTGAGGCAGAGTTAGTCCCAAAGGAATATTTTATTTACATGGATTTTTAGGGGTAACAGTGACTGTAATGAGGATGGTGAGGTTTCAGATGTAGCGGTTGGAGATAAGGCAGGATCCTGTCCACTAAGTCTTCACATGAAATGGATAGAAAGAGAAAATAAGAAAGTGTCAAGTGAGAGCATCTCATCAATTATATTTCCCCCTCTGTTTCCACTGGTGACACTCTTTTGTACATCTCCTAGTAAGTGTGGGATGGAGAGCACTGGTACAGATCAGTATCTCAAGCCATGTGACAAAATGCTGTCCTCTGCAGCGGTGTTGCAAGTGTATGAGCAGCTGTCCATAGTCCTGCACAGTGATTGGGGACAGTGCGGTGATTCCCTCCTGGGAGGGCCATCTGATAGTGGATATAGTGACTTTCAGATGCCATTTGAGGCATAACCTAGAACAGTGGAATTCACCCCAGTCCTCCGGACCACCAGACAGTCCACATTGTTCTCTATTGCAGCTGCAGGCACATCTGAACCAAACCATTAAGAACACTCAATACCTGATACACGTGTACCGAAACCTGTGGTACAGCCAAAATGTGGTTCATCTGATGGGCGTCAGGACTGGTTTGAAAAACAATGGCCTTCACCAGACACAGTAAATTCACCATTTGGTGTGCTGTGTTGTGCCCCCATGCCATTTGCTTCTATGTTAATTAATGTAGCTTTTCACACTGACCACAGCAGTAATGTGCATATAAAGCGCAAAATGGCTTTGTCACTTTGTGTACAAAATTCAGTATTCTTGCTATATTATGCGTTAACGTGGTGTGCATGAGTCACATCTGATTTGGAATAAAAAGTGTTGTGGAGCACTGTAGTCACTCCTAGTGTAAAATCAGCATCACAGATTGCTTTGTTTGAATTGATTTCTATAACATATCTCCTTTCACAGTTTTGTACCTCTCCTTTTTTTGCGCTCTTTTTGAAAGAGCTCTTTTTTGTCGTTGAGATATTAATGATATTTTGTAATGAAACAGTACATTTTGCTGGTAAGAGCAATAGCTGAGTCATCTACTGTACATTGGTTCTTTTCCAGCTGTCAGTCAAAAGTAGGCGGTTCACCTCGGGACGCCTGTCCAGGGCTTTTGGCCTGTCATTGTACAGACAACAAGTTAGTGCCCAAACCCTTCGCTGAGCTATGACCAATCAGAGTTGATTACTGCTTTTAATGGAATCAGAGAACTAGAACAAATCAGGCACATTCTGCTCAGACTGTAGACTCCCTGCACTTTTTGCTATGTGAGTGTGTGTGTGTGTGTGTGTGTGTGTGTGTGTGTGTGTGTGTGTGTGTGTGTGTGTGTTTGTGTATATGTGTGGGTGTGTGTTGGTGTGTATGTGTGTGTGTGAAAGAGAGACAGAGAGAGAACAGTGCTTGACTAAAACAAAATCATGTAGATCAAACTAACCCCTGCTATAGCCTGACGGTGTGTCTCTTCCTGTATGTCATCTGTGTGAAACATTTAGAACAAAATTTCACTAACAAGCCTGCCATTTGTCTCAGTTCAATGGAAAAGAACAATTAAATAACAAAGTAACAAAATAAATAAAAAAGAACAATCTTTTCCATTGTTTTCTGTTAGTTCAGCTCTCAGTAGATTCTGACACACCTTCAGTCTGGCTCAAATTTACTGCTTTCATCCTCTCTTTCTCTTCTTTTCCTCGTCTAAGCTAACCTCACTGTTTCTCTTCATCTTTTGGGTTTGTAGGAGTCTGGAACCAACAAACACAACTCTCCCGACTCCGACTCATGTCCCTCCTCACCTAAACACCCCTCTACAGTTAGTATACATACTAACATGTATGTATGTGTGTCTGACCACCTGGTTGTTTCATGTGACTAGAATCTGAATTGTAAACCTCATAAGATTGTAACCACATGCATTTATGCTTGTTAGTCAAATGCAGTTCTGGTTAGTCAGATTGAAGTCTAATTGCTATGTGGTACATAATATGCAAATCTGTTTAAATATAACAACCAATTTCCTATGCTGCTTCTCATTTTTTGTTCTATTCAGAAGAAAATCATGATTTTGTCAGTCAATGTTCACAAGAAGACAGCTGTTTAGAATAATTGGCCTCCAGTCTTAGTCATCTCAGCCATGAGCCATGTGAGTTAAAAAGCAGCGTATGGTGGGGAGACAGTAAAAAAAACAAGGCGAAAGTAAATGTTAGCTAGCTTCACAGAAGGCCAGCAATGTTAGCTATGGAATTAAACTCAGAAGAGAAACTCATGTCAGGAGTTTAATTAAAGAAGCAGCAATGTAACAGCAGAGACAGGCACTCTCACGGTATTGGGAAGGGTTTTGGTTATCGACAGTGGCTTGGAGAGATGGATGCAGATTTAAATGTATTTTAAATGTGCCTTGGGTGCATTTAACACATGCATTTATGTATGCATAATCACTATCTGCATACAATCCAGATACTCAAGACACAGGAAACAACCAGGTGTAAACAGTGTGTGTATTTACTGCATCTTTAATCTGCTTAACCACATCCTTACATACACTCTCTGTGTGTATGTGAGAGAGACAGATTTGGAAATGTTTCCAAATTGGTACTATGTCCAGATTATCAGATATTAGGATTTAACCACTAGATAATCTTGTGGCAAACTGTAGTGCAGAGGATTATTTTAATGGGAAATCTACCCAGTTTAATTTGAATTGTTATTGGCTGTTTTATGCTTAAATATGAAAAACCTTAAAAATAAAAATATTATTAAAAATATTAAATATTGACATTCCTACTTGATCTGTTAACTCCATGAAATGAACCCCAGGTTTATTATTAGGTTATTAATCATTAGCTGTATTATTCTGTAACTACTCTGAAATTATTAAATTATGTAATTATGAGCATGAAAATCTGAAGTTTGGACCAAGGGTTTAAGGAGTTAATACCACTCTTAGAAGATTGCCCATTGCCATAAGTCAACAACTGATTATGCCTTGGTTTCATTTCTTCTTTCTTCTTCAGCCCTCAGAAAAGTGTGGCGTCCTCAATGTCACCAAGATCACTGAAAATGGAAAGAAAGTCAGGTACGGATCAAGACTTGCACACATATATGCGTAGGTGGGCATATGTCAAGTTGTGTTCTTCTGTCTTGTATACTCTGCTTTTTTTCTGAGTTTTGTTGTTTTTCTCTCCTTTTGCCCTTTAGGAAGAACTGGATGTCATCCTGGACTGTTCTTCAGGGGTCCACGCTGCTCTTTGCTAAGGGTCAGACCAGCAGCAGCAGCTGGGTATGTTTGAACTTTACTCGCGCCTCAGTGGCTGTTCCCTTAACTGTAATTTTCTCCTAAAAGTCATTTTCCTTCATTGTGGTAGTTAGAGATGTCCTGATCCAGGTTTTTCCTGGTCAAATTCAATAGTATTGAGCACCAGGTAATACAAATAAATAAAATGCTGCAGTAAAATTTTCATATTTGCAGAGTGGTATGTACTTAGGTTTTTGTGAAGTAGTTTTTGAATATGGTACGATTTAGAACATATTGTTCTAACACAAGCTCAGTGTTACTGCTGTAGTGACATGGCACAGACGTCAGTCAAGAAGAATGTTTCACAACTTTTGAGTGGAAGAACATCACAGGAGTATATTTTGAAAATGCTTTTGACAGCATTCCACTTGCAGGATGACAGAGATGGACTAGGTAGCTAATTCAAACACAGTCAAAACACTGGTGTTGCAGATATTGCAAGTTTTCATTATACATTTTAAAATGGTAAAAGTAGTGTTAGGTAGAGCAGAAAAAAACAAATGATCAGAATTGGATTAGCTGTGTTGTAGCTGTGACTAAATGAATGTTAAAGTAGTAGATTTATCCAATTTTCCACTTCTCAGTTGTAGTTGATCAGCCAAGACATGTTTTTTGAAATTTTGTCCATATGTTGCTCCTGTAGTTTAGACCTGGAGCTACAAGGCTAACACACCTAACAAACGCTCAAATAGCCCAAATTGTTTCTGTAAAAATTTCAACCTGCTTGAACCACACCAGGTCTTTACTGGTGCACTGTGATTTAGAGTATAGTGTGACTGATCTGTCAAAATGAACAGGCAGCATTTCAGATAACACCAGGGCTGGTATTCACAAAGCAGGACTGATATTGGACCTAAATCCTACATATTTATGATAGTCAGTATCACACATACTGATTCTAGATCAGCACTCCTACTTCTGAGGTGGTTTGTGAATACAGATCCTGTAGAGACAAGTGAAATGCTTTTATGATGTTCCAGTTCTGAACTACAGTCGCAAAATTTGGATTCCAAACGTATCTCGGCCAATCAACTGCGGAAAAACTGTTTTAATTCGTTTTTTCGCAGAACCATTTCTTTATCATGTCAGTCAGCTCTCCTGAACTGGGAAATATAAAGAGCAAAGTTTATGCACCAGCCAGGTGCACCCTTTATACTGGTACTGAATTAGCCTTAAACTAGAGTCAGTGCATCCAGTACCTCCTTCTTGAGTACCTGTATTTCATCTCTCCATTTTTTATTTCCTTCTCTGTGTGTGCTGTGATTGTGAATCTGTTCATGCATCATCACTCTCTCTTTCTGTTCTGTTCTTCCCCTCCTTCCTTCTCTCTCTTCTCTCAAAGTCCTACTACCGCAATGGCTCATTCCCTGAGCTCCTCCTCTCGTTGCTAAGCAACTGGAAGCGTTCAGTTAAGCCCCGCCCTGCGGTCTCCTATAAGCACTTTGGGCGTGGCCAGCCTTGCTCTGTATGTGTCAGTGCCTTTTCACACAGGAAGCCTTCATGCAGATTTTTGAACAGTTTACCTTACTCTAAAAACTACTTGTAGTTAATGTATACAGCTGGGTATCTTGAATTCTATTTGTGCATATTGATTGGAACCTGCTGTAGATGTATAATTGCAAGCCAGTACTTTCTTGCTAAACTTAAATATAAAAAAGAAAATTATTTGGAATGAAATTCAGCTAACATTGAAAACTGTTTTAAGCTGCTCAAATGGGGCTTCCTGCTCACATTGTCTTTGCATGTCTGTCCTTCTGCTTGTCTCTCATGCTTACACCCTCCCCTCTTGCTTGCTTGGTCTTTTTATTCAAAAAAGCTAGATTTGTTGAAAATATGATTTCCGTTAGGATAGGTGGGTATGGGAAATGGCTGAGAAGGCCATGCACTGGCATGCATTCTTACATTTGGAACATGATCATGGGTGAACAGAATTGTTCTTTTAAAGACTTTTTGCATGTTGGTTTTGGGCAACTAGTTTCAAGTCTGGTTAACTGTTAGAAAGTAGGATAACAGCCTGGCTTGTGCTTTGCAGAGGTGGATAAAAACACTTTTGTGAATGTGAGAACATGGATGAGCTCTGAGTTAGTAAAGAAGGAACTTGCCTTAACATTGAATTAAAGACTTTCCCTATAATACAAAACTAACTGGCACCTAAAGCGTGTTGTAGCTGTGGTCAGTAATCTGGTTAAGCAGCACTCAATAATGAAACAGTAACACTGATGGAAAAGATATGATATATCAGGTATTGTAATGTCTGTCAACTCTTGGGTTGACCAGTGAGTTGCAGATATTACAGCGTATCCTAGTGCACAATGTTTATGTAATTCTCTTTTGCCATTTGAAGTTTGGAGGAAACCAGTCAAAACCGGAATTCACTGTGGACCTGCGTGGTGGTTCAGTGGAATGGGCATCCAAGGAAAAGTCCAGTAAGAAACATGTCATTGAGGTAAAAAGTGATCAAGCTGTGTATATCTTACATAGTATCTAGTGAAATGTCCTATAATGTGTTTAAACTTTAAGCTTCAAGTGCTTTGAGTAATCTTGCTGCCCAGTGACCCCAGCTGACCCTTTGATTCCAGCTAAAGACACGTCAGGGCACAGAGCTGCTGATCCAGTCAGAGATAGACAGCGTCATCACCGACTGGTACAAAGCACTCACTGAGGCCATCAATACACACGTGAGTGTCTCACAAGGCACACATTTATTTACATAGCATTTGCAGTCTCACTTGGTAACCTCAGCTAAAATGTGAGAAATAAGCTCTTCTGATACTTGCCACTATGTATAAACATTCAATTTGTAATAGTAGTTAATCTAATATGCATATTATTCATACAAATATCTCAGTCTTTACTTTCCCTAATTATATCTGCCTGCTTCTGTGTATTTTCATATATGCTGTATGTAGGCATGGGAATCAGATGAGGCCATTGAAGAGGACATGCCTGAATCTCCTGGAACTGAGAAACAAGACAAAGAGAAAGATCACAGAGATCTGAAGAAAAACAAAGGTAGAGAAGAACATACACACTCCTGGATACAAACACACAGTGATTAATCCTCACACATCAACACTTCAGCACATCACACCTCATCCATATTGCTCTGATTTGTTCAATGGTGTATGTTCCTGTATATAGCAATGAAGAGTTCCGCCAGTATGGAATCATCAGATCAGAAGAAGACCAGAGTAAAGCTTAAGAAATTCCTAACACGAAGACCCACCCTACAGGCTGTCAGAGACAAGGGCTACATCAAAGGTACACTACTCCCCTGAAGCCCCATGCACACCTGCACTTTTGCCCAGGAATTTAAATATAATTAAATGGAAAGTGTTAAGTGTTTACAGAAACTGGAATCAAAATCCCAGTAAAGTTTATCTTAAATTACTAGGACGGCTTATGTGAACAGAAGTCACTACATTACAGGGGCGCCTAAATGTTACAGCTGGAAAAGCTGAACGTTTTTGTGAGCTGAACGGTTCTGCTTTTTTTTTTTTTAATGTAAATGTTTTTTGGTTTCGTTTTTCAACTTCGCAAGAGTGTATTTTGTGCATTATTCTAGAGAAAAGTAGAAAAAAGGATCCTGATAATGTCCGGGGTTTTGAGTGGGAAAGAGGCTAGAGACAGACAGAAATACGTGTCTAGTGATTTTAAAGAATAAATGAGTTCTGTTAGTTTGGGAATTTTCTCTGAGTACAGACGTTTGGACGTTTATAAATTGTTTCTGCAATGACCTATGCATGCTCCGCCTACAAGAGCAGTCTTTCATAGCTGATGTTGCAAGATTGGACTAAGTGTACAGAATGCTGGCAAAAATTCAGTTCAGCTTAATGACAAATTCTAGCACACAGCTTATACTTTGTATACATGTGAAGGACCACATGATTAGATTTTTGTTGTGTAATAGAGATTTTTCTTCCTTGCCCTCAACCTGCTTAATTGTGTCTAGCTTGCTAGCGTAGCATTTTAAACTATAAACTCACTTCTATATAGTGACTATGAAAGTGTGTTACAATTTCCTATTAGGTTGATTGGGATTTTTGCTGAAGGTCTGTAAAGTTTGTCCAACCTGGTAAAAGTTCCAAAAGCAAAAAAAAATGCTTTTTCTGAGGAGAGCGTGGATAGGCAAATTTCTGTCTACATTATGTAATATATCCTCCTGACGCTGGCTGGATCTATGAATCGTTCTTTTATCTGCTCTGTTTTTAGATCAGGTGTTTGGGTGCAGTTTGACCAGTCTCTGTGCCAGGGAGAACACCTCAGTACCCAACTTTGTCAGGATGTGTATTGAGCATGTGGAAAAAACAGGTACTCCCAAACTTATTATTGCATCTGAGTGAATTTTAATGTTAGATTGGTTATTTAGTGCTGCAAACTAAGTAAAATTGATACATTTAACAGACCTAAGGGTTGGCTTAATTTCTCTCTCTCCCTGTCTCTCTCTCTCGTGTGTTTTTCTACAGGCTTAAATATTGATGGCTTATACAGAGTCAGTGGCAATCTGGCTGTCATTCAGAAACTACGCTTTGCTGTCAATCATGGTACGGATAGTGTGCATTTAAAGATTTACATTATACATTTTTATAGCTGAACATAACTAGTCTCTTATACATTTTAAATTTCCCTGTGATGGACACTGAAATTAAAATATTAAGTGTGTATTTAAAAGCACATCTGTTTATACCTAAGCTAAATTGATGTAATGTATGTAATAAAAATTAAATACCAAATTATGACGGTCATATATCAGTTGACTTGTGGTGTTATCTATTAATTTAATGCCAATACCGTTACATAAAAAATTAAATATCTATGGTGCTACTATTTGTTAGACATCTCTGGTCTTTGTGTATGACAGATGAGAAGGTGGATCTAGAGGACAGCAAATGGGAGGATATCCATGTGACCACCGGTGCTCTGAAGATGTTTTTCAGGGAGCTTCCAGAGCCTCTCTTCACCTATGCCTCTTTTAATGACTTTGTTAATGCCATCAGTGAGTTATAGCCTTTATCCTTAATAGTCATGCATCTGATTTATACAAGAGATAAGACATCAACAATTAAACACTAAACAAATGAACATTTTGGGCATTTCAGAACTAATAGCCACACTATATGGACAAAAGTACTGGGACACCTACAGCTTTTATGACATTAATATGGAGTTGGTCCCTGCTTTGCAGCTATAACCGTTTCCACTGTTCTGGGAAGCTTTCTACAAGATTTTAAAGAGTGTCTGTGGGAATTTCTGTCCATTCATCCAGAAGAACATTTCCAAGGTCATACACAGATGTTGGACAGGAGGGCCTGGCTCACAATCTCTGTTCTAGTTCATGCCAAAGGTTTGAGGTCAGGGTTTTGTGAGGGCCAGTCAATTTCACCAATGCTTGTAATGGCAGACTGCATGGCTAGGTGCTTGGGTTTATACACCTGTGGCAATAGGACTGAATGAAACACCTGAATTCAGTGATTGAGGTTTGTCCCAATACTTTTGTCCATATAGTATGTGTGGATTTAGAGCACACACATAATAAACACACACAGTAACATTTATGACAGACCATGCAACTACAACTGAGTCAGAAATCATCTAGGATTCAGCTAAAATATGGATGAGTGTGGAAATTTAGCTGAAACATAACAGCAGTAAAGCATTCCTTTAAACATCTTCAGTGCAAATTATTAAAACAAGGTGCAGCCTGGAGAAGTCCATGTTGCTGTTAGCAGCATGAAATTTCTGTATTTAAATTTCTCTTTCAAATTTCTCAATCATAAGTTGAATTCAGACACTGAATCTGAGTGACTGACACTGTCACAGTAGTGTCTGTTTACAATAAAAGCTGAACCTGCTTAGGTTAGAATAGTGGCAGAGCAGTTGTTCATATTTTCCTATATGTTTCACCTTAAATATTTAATGATTAGTAATGTGTTAGACAGTACTGAAGATCTCAGTATTTATTTTCTGTAACATGAAAAATCTACAATTCAGAAAGTAGCCACAAGAGGGTGCTATAAGATATGTTTTGCAAAGAACCTGTCAAAGCAGTGACTAAGCAGAGAACCCTGAGGACAGTTTTGCGAACAGGCCATGAGGCAGATGCTAATCCCTTTCTCTTTCGTTTTTCTCTCTGATTTTTCTACAGAAAACTCTGACTATAAGCAGAGGGTCCAGGGCATAAAAGACCTAATCAAGCAGTTGCCAAAACCAAATCAGGAAACAATGCAAGTCCTGTTCAAACACTTGAAAAGGTAACCTCTCTCCCCTTATCTGACACCCTTTTTGGGGTGGTGGGTGGGCGGGGGGTCGTGAAATGGGGCCTTGAATCTGAATTGTGATAGATTTGCTCGTTTGTTATGTAAGATTTGGAAAGGATCCGTGCAGATTTGTGTTTGTGTTTGTCAGAGGTGATTCGGGTACAGCATGTGTTCTGCACAGGCTGCCTGTATTGAGTTATCTCACTCCATCCATTACTGGGACAGACCTGGACATGAGCCAACTACATCATTATGAGAGAGCACAGGAGGAGGGATATGGAGGGAGATAGGTGATAGACCACATCCTCTTGACACCATGGTGTGATGCATGAGTGATCAACATATGAGAAAGAGAGAGAGAGAGAGGGTCGAAGAGGGTAGAGGTTGAGTAGATTGATTACATAAGGATAGACTGATGGTAGGTATTGCAGTTAAGAAATGCTTGAGTGTGTGTGTGTGTGTGTGTGTGTGTGTGTGGTAGTAATGTAATTACATTACAGCATTGAGGGCGTGTAAGAATCTGTACCTGCATTAAGCAGCAGAGAAGAATAAGGCATCTGGTCATAGTGCCTTACCAAAGCTAAAAAGGGGTGGGGTTTGATTATGTTTGATATGTTCACATACTCACTGAGCATCGTGACTCACTTTGTGCTTAACCCCTTTTCACAGTAGCTATAAAATGCAATTTTGGCCTGTTTTGAAGGTTCCTGAGATTTTGCATTATGCATTTTTTCTCTTGAACAATGTTATATTCTTATTTTTCAATGAAAATATGTTTGATTTACAAAACCGAAACTGGATTTTCATCTTTGTAGGTGAGTGAACAAGTCCACATTTGTACAAAACAAGAGTATTCCTAGTTAATCTGATAGTTACGGGGAAAAATATTTTATTTGATTATATGAATTACAAATATCTCTGACTATTTCCATTTCACTGGTGGAAAGAAGTTAAAGAACCTTGAGGATTACAATACAAATACGACCACAGTCACGGCATAGAGAAGGTAAAAACAGACTCCTCAGGAGAACGGCTTCTTGTGGGTTTGTGTGATCTTGTGAAGAGACTGTAGTGCTGGCATATTACAGCTGATGTGTTTTTACAGTGTTGTTACGGTCATTAAAGGGTGATGCTAAGCGAAAATGATCTCATGAATGATAGTAACCGTTTAATGGTTTTACTAGCTTGGCGCTATTGGAATATTTTACCACATCTCACAATGTTTTACCGAGTTTGGTTCATTTGAAAAAGACCTATGTGTGAAAACACCCTTAAACTCTAAACGTACCTTCATTCATCATCTAAACTGCTCCATCCCAAGCTGTAAAATAATCATGAGTTGTTAAGTTGGCTTCCCTTGAAGCAGGTGAGATTTGGATGAATCTTTCATCAGTTTGAGCTTTGAGTGGAATCTGCTTTAGTGAAGCTTTAACCTCCAGATTACACTGAACATGTGGAACAACCAAAATGGAAATAGCTTTCACATTTGGTTAAGAAGTATTGTGTTTCATATGCAAGTCAGTCATTGCCTTCAGGTGTTGGTCAAACCTTGTTGTTGTGGTTACAGTGAGAAATAATCACTGTGCAGTGCAGGCACAGTAAGAAACTACTTTCCATAGAGTTTAGTGTTGTCTGCTCCACTAACTTCTCCACTCATATGCATTCAAAGACTCTTGTAAAACTATGGCAGTTTTGAGGGACTGTACCATTTATACTATACTGGTCTTTTAGACTCCACCTGTGAAGTGATGGGAATTTTTCTTAATATATTCTTTAATATAATTTAATAAAATTTTTGCCATATCTTTTTTGTTTTTTTAATGCTTGCCATTTATCTGGCATGTGTGATGCATTTCGATACATAGTCAAAGTGTTTGTCATTTTTTCCTCCTTTTCTCTGAAATTGGTTTTTAAAACAGCTCACCATTCATACAGTAAGAGAGAAAGTGGCCAACCTCCCACAAGGCAAAGCAAAAAACAGCATGTTTTCATAGTGACTGAAAGGTTCTAAAGCTGAGTGTAATCTTCAGGCAGGTGTATCACCTCCATCTTTTTGAATGATTGTCACTTAAAGCTGGCACACGCATCTTTTACACAGTGCTTTTACTGCAGTTAGTTGTAGATGAAAGAAAAGTGAGTAGCTGGGGGAAGAAGAGCACTGAGGGGGAGAGTCGTTCATTTCTGATCAGTACAGGCTGCTCTCTCACCCTCAGTGAAGGTCTATGTTGGTACTGAGCTCAGATTGTCATTGCCATATCAAACACACTGACATTTGCCGTTGCTTCCATTTGCATTTAAATGACTCTCAGTCCACTGTAACTGCAGATGGAGGATGGAGGCAGGCTGCTTCATAAATGATATGGAACCATTCCTGATACCTCATATTCTCCTGCAGCAGGATATTGGATCCATATTTGGGTGTTTTTATGTTGGTAAAAGAAATCAACATTTATTTAATAGGGTTGTAAGAGTGAATCAGCGTGATCATTTGTTATCATTTAGTGAGCAGCATCGCTTCTTTAAGAAAGGTAAAACTTTTGAAGGAAGACAGTTTAAAACATGATGGTGGCAGAAAAAGTGGATCAAAGAATGAAAGGGTTTCTGAAAACTCCTAGCAAGAATGAAACTCCTGGACTCTGTAACTTGGCAGTTCTGTAAAAGTATTTTATTTGCATAGTCCTGGTGGTCTTGTCTTGGAACTCTGTGATGCAGTTTTTCAGATCACTTTTAGCAGAAATGTCCTTTTTGAGATTTCCCAATGCAATAGCTGCAACACCTCAAGTCAAAAATGATGTGGCGTAGTGATGATAGGATAAGACAACTTTAAAGCCATTAACAAATATCGAACATATCGAAGATGCAGTTTTTTCTTCAAAATCAGATTTATGAAAGCAGTAATCAACAGATTAATTGATTATGAATAGTAAAACTGAACTACAGCCCTGCACATTCTGTTTAGCTTTGTTTTTTGCATATGAGAGCACTTTAACGTGCTGTACAGCCTTTGTTCTAGATAAGCTTGAAATTGCTCTTTAAATGTTTAGCTGATGCTGTTTTACTAGAGGTGGCATCAATATGATTTTCTCTCTCTCTCTTGCTTTCCATCAGAGTGATAGATCACGGAGAGGCGAACAGGATGACTACTCAGAGTGTGGCCATCGTCTTCGGCCCCACGCTCCTGCGGCCTGAGACCGAGACGGGTAACATGGCCGTCCACATGGTCTACCAGAACCAGATCGTAGAACTGATCCTGCTGGAATATGAGAACATATTCGGCAGGTAGAGCATCTGTGGTGTGTAGAACATCGCTCGCGTCACCTGCTCGAGAAGGGTCCAGAGAACACCATGCCGAAACACGACCATCGCAGAATACACCATGTAAAAGCAAAGGCAGGCTTTCATTCGCTATGGACCAAGCTTAGTAGAGAACATACACAAAGAGAGGAATGACTGAGTTATGGAGGGTTGCAAAAGTGGTTGAAATAATACAAGAGTATAGAAAGGTACTTTATGCACTTCATGCTTTGAGGCTTTTGATGATGTACAGAATTTTTGATTTTCTGTTTGGTTTACCATTCCTGAGAAGAAGCTGCTTCTGCTCTTGACTGAGAATAAGCTGGATTTTTTATTTTAATTTTTGGACAATTTAAAATTGGAAAAGTCTCCATTTGTGCTTTTGCAGAGGATGAGAATAGACAGTCATTGGATACTGCACTCCTGTCTTGACCAGTACAGATGGCCTGAAGAAGACTGCTATGGGCTGAGGACTATGGGAGTTCTTTGAGGTGTATGTGTATAGTGAATACTGAAGAAAGGCTTCTGAAACTGGACTAATTTTTGCTCAGACGCCCTCTGTGCTTTGGGCGAATCTGCACTTGACGTTCTGGACCTTTTTTTCCTTCATGAAATACAGTGGACTGTTATGGCAAGCAGTATTATTTCTCAGTGACTACTAATCTATGGAAAGGGAGTCATTTACCAGGCTGAGCTAAATAAATATGAATAACGACTTACTGTCAGTATTACAACTGGACTCTTTCAGGATCCAGAAGGATTGGCATGGCTTACTTGGATGTGTTTTTCACCTTTTTTCTTGCTCTTATCAAAAAGCTTATAGCATCTGCCCTTTTGACTGCAGACTCTATTCTTCGAAAGAACCGGAAAGAACTGCCTCTTCTATCTCCAAGACTGGATACTAGATTACTACCTTGTGACAGCATCTCACCTAATAGGATCTCAGAACAGCTGTCTGAGCTTTTCAGGAACTCTCCACTGTAACTCTCTAATCAAGTAACTGGACTGTGACAATATGATGGCGTGTGTGTGCTGTCAGACCTGTGGTTAAGACTGTGCTGCTTATGTGGGATAAAATGAAGCATTCACGTATTACCTGTGGAACAGCTGGAAGTACATGAGCGGATCTTGTAGGGGTTGTACCAATTCGTAATTTGTTGTCTGAATATGTTCGCTATGCCTCTGTGGGTGAAAAACACAAGTGGCTATGGATTAATTAGAAATTTGGGGAATGTGTAACTCCTCACTCACCTTGTTTGCCCTGCCCCCTTTATTTTTCTGCTTCCCCTTTCCATCCTTGTTCCTTTGCTTTCCAACTCTAGTGTTACTGGAATTTGAAAGGGGAGATGTTTAAGTTTGCATTCAGTCTTACCGCTTCAATTTCAGATCAATAGTGGTACTCCCCCTCTAATCTTCTCTCTGTCCCGCTTTCTTTAGTCTCTACGTAAATATGAACAGCAAAAGACAGGAGGGCTCGGGGAAATAGTGTTGTGGTGTGACTGTACACAATGTGAAGATTCTTTTTTATATATGAGATTTCGAAAGCGAGTGTACAGATTACCTTTAAAATAATACTTGATGAACCAGTTGTTATAAAAAAAGAATGCAAATAGCGACTGAAGTGTGAACAGATTGCTCTAATATTATATACATTAAGAATAATAATAAATATTAGATATTAATTGCTTCAGAAATAAAGAAGGGTTGGTATCGCAATGCATTGTGAGCAGCACATTTTGAATGTAATTCTGAGACTAACTACTGTTTCTGACATGGACGTGTCTAATTCTAATTAAAAAGAATACAAATCACATAAACGGTATGTGGCTGATTTGCTGTGTCTACTAGCTTCTCTCTCATTATTCCATTTGTATGTTGGTATTGTTTTGTTTTCTCATCTCTTTGAAAATGAAGTTAGTCTTCATTTTTTGGAACCGTTTAGAAAAATCTCAGTTTGCAGTGGCCAATGAACAACATAGGGTACCCGAAGGTACATAAGGTACATAAGTTACTCTCTTATTAAGGTCTTTATTTGTTTTCCAAACCAGCTTTTATATAGCATTTGCTCTGTTTTTCTAACAGGAGAGACCACCTTGAATTGGAGAAAAGTAAGACAAATGACCAGGCAAGTATAAAATCACAGGCCTGCTTGAGACCACAACCTGTGTAGCAAAGGCAGAGGGGGCAGGGAACAGAATTTCCAAATGAGAAAACAATTAGCTCATATCCATAATTCATAACTCTGACCACAGTCTTGAGCAGCCGGGGCCCTAGAGGTGTGTGACGTGTGCACCATATGCTACTGCTTGTTTCTGGGCAGCCATGCCAGGAAAGCTCCTGGCCTCTCAGGTCCACGGAGGCCAAAGTGTGGGGAGGTAATTTGAGCATGCCATTATGACCCATAAAACATTCATCACCTTGGTGCTCTCTCTTTTTTCTGTCTTTCTCCTAAAGTGTTTCTCTAACACTCAAACAGCACATTACTCACTGACTGTCTCTACACCTATCGGCCCTCCCAACACTCACGAGGCTTAATCTGTGTTTCAGCATCCCCCTGGCACTTATCTCGGCCGTATTAGTTATGATACCATAAGCTAAGTTTCCTTCCCTTCTTGATAGGATCCTTTGTAGTCTCAGGAGTAGTTTCTGTATTTCCTGTAGCGAAGCCACACCTAATCTGCGTAATTGGATTCATTAGGAAACATGTGGAAACATTTATATCACTTTCAGCCGTATCCATGGGGACTGTATTATTGTACACTGAAAAGCGAATACAAGCCAAGCTAAATGTGTAGCGGACAGAACCGATCCCAAATAGTAAACTTTCTTGCTGAATCCGCTCTTATTTATCTTTCACAACCTCTATGAATTAATTTATTTAACAAGATAACTCCTCTCCTATATATTTATATAAATGTGAAAAGGAGTTAAGGGGCCATAATTCCCTAGTCAATCAGTCTAGCTGACACTTAAGAGTGTTCCAGTCTTTAACTATTCATCAACTTTGCCTATTTGCATACATACTGGATAACTAATACTTCTTTCAGTTAGTTTAGTATACAGTGCTGTGCAAAAGTCAGAGACCACCCTTTTTATATGTCTATTGAATTTCCAGTCAAAACTGCTGTTAAGTAAGTTATTAATTTTTAAGCATTAGGGGAAAAACAGAATACACACCACACACACATATTCAACAACTAAGTAAAATCCCAGGTTTTTTTCAGTATTTAGTGTGTTCATCCTTTACGTTTTTTTTTACAGCTTCCTTTTTTTTTAGGAGACTCTGAATTGATTTAAAGAATTCTGCTGGGATATTTTAATGCACCTCCAAAGTTCAGTGTCAGAAGTTGGTTACCTTTTTCTGCTTCTCTCAGTCCAAGTAATCCCAAACATATTCAGTGGTCTGTGCTCTGGGGTCCATTGTTCTAAAAACACCCGCAGCTTTTGTTTTTATTTGCACATTTTCTTTTTTGTCTTTTTTTTCCCTCAGTAATAGCTTTTTGACAGCTACACGTCCTTTCAGACCCACAGTGTTGAGCTGTTCTCTCACAGTGGAAGGATGGACAGAAACACCTGTGGATTTCAGACTTGAAACAAGAGTAAAGCTTGATTTTCTCCTCTCTCTCAAAGATGAAAGCTGTAAGTGCTGTTTATCTGATGGTGACAGTGTGGGTGGTCTACCACCCATTCTATCTGTAACTTAGTTTCTTTTTTAATTCAGTGTTTTTTCACTTGACTTTTCCCCTCCTTATGCAAGTGGATTACTTTATATGTAATGTAAGTACCTCCTGAGAAATTATTTATTTGTAATTGATGGTTGTTTTGACTGGAAATTAAATTAATGAGGGGTCAACGTTGACTTTTTCACAGTCCTGTCTATGATTGCGGTAACCATGCTGACATTTGCAGTGAATGAATAATGACTTCAAATCAAAAAAGAGAATAAATAGGGTGGTATTTGTCATATTGACTAGTGTTGTGTCTGCAGAACCTGACTGATTTTATTGTGTGGAATTACTTATCAATATGTTTTTCTCAGGTATTCAAATAACTCTTTATGCTTCTGTACACAGACCTGCTTGTGTCCACATCACCATCAATTACATATTCCACTCACTCCACTATAAAGCTTTCACTCCTTGTGTGCGAGTGCTTTGTTCAAGCCCTCTTAGCAAATACTCTCTCATAAGCCTGCTTTAAAATAGGGTTCACATGCAAGCAGGCCCGGCTGAAATAATCATGTAAGTATTTCAAATGTCATTGGCCATGCTCCGCTATTAACGAAGTTCGCATGGCTGGACTTGATGGCTTTGCATTGCAAAATCCAATGCATTTTAAACACGTTCTTATCCTGGATTTACATAAGGTAATTGCAGAAGGCTGGAAATACAGGGTCAGTATATCTATATACCCCCCTCCCCCGCCCCCAACCCATACACACCTCTCTAACCACACACACTCGCCCCTTCATTCACTAATACAATCAACCCCATTAAGTAGGCAATAAATATAAGGTGTAGTGTATCAAGCCTGACAGATAATGGACCTTTCTGCACATCCATTTAGTGATGAGGGCTGCAGTGTGATTGGCCTGGCCGTGCCGCATTACCTGGGCCGCTGTTAAAGAGTCTGGGGATCCTGCCAGGGGCTTTACCTTGTGATGTGAATTGCGGCTCTAGTCAGTGATTCACTTTGGTTGGCTCAGCTCACTGGCGTGTTGAATTGATCTGTTTTTGCCCATCATGAACTTTAATTCTACCTTCTAATTAACATCATTTATTTGCATTGTGTTTATAATAATTATACAAAAATGTTTGAATAATAATGAGAACAGCACTTGAAGTCTTGAAGATAAGCAGACAAATGATAATTGTCTGTTTTCACATTACCTAATGTTACTAGCCTAGTCACATTGTATTTCACCTCATACCTTTTACCTCAAAAACAACAAATTCACGAAGTTAGCAGATTCCAAACCTCATTAATTCACTAGTGTTTAAAGTGTGATGAAATCTATACGAGTGTAAAATGAACATGAGCTTCATGTTTATCAGCACTTTTCTGCAATGCTTCTTATGTGTTATAGCTGACCTTTTATAGTTCTGGCACTGTGGTGCTTCTCTGGTGAGTGGTTGCCTTTAGGCAGCTGCAGTAGTCTTTCTACTTTCTGTTTTTCCTTTTTACTCCACCTCTATCCAAAACACGGATGCAGGATCTTCACTGCCCTCTAATGGCGTATAGAGTTCAGACATTTCATGGTTCTTAAATATGAGAACATACAACAGGGGTGTCCAGTCTTATCCACAAAGGGCCGGTGTGGCTACAGGTTTTACTTCCAACATTTCCAAGCAGGACTACACATGATCTGTTGTTTGAAGGCTGAATAACTGATTATACAAGTGGATCAGGTGTGCTCCAGCTCATTTGGATTGAGAACTTGCAGCCACACCAGCTCTTTGTGGATAAGATTGGACACCCCTGACATACAACATTAGAGAGAAGCTAAGTTTCATTCGAAAAACTATTCTATTTGACAGTATTCAACTCTATTCGATACTATACTGTCTGATTCTTGCATTTTTAAAGGTCTATTCAAAAACAAACATTCTGTCTTGTCCCTAATGTGGATGAGATGTTTCACTGGGATGTGTTTCGCTCCCTGCACTGATGCATACTGATGCATAAGTGAATATTGATTCATTTTCAACTAGTTATATTTGCTTCAGCTACCAAACAAAAAGGCTAATACGCAAATCAGCTCCCAACTTTAACTGAAACTGACCAACTTAAAGAGCCAGCTTAGTTGGGAACAGCACGTCACTAGTTCACCTGAAACAGCCTGCCTGTAGCTCAGTGGGGAGGAGGAAAGTGCTGGTGCTGTGATTTAACTGTGGTTTAAACTGCATGTCTCTCTCTCTGTCTCTCTTTCCTCACACTCTGCTGGTTCGGACTGTTCCTACATGCTAATTAGTTTGTCTTGAGCTACTAATTTGCTCTTGCTTCTGCTTGAGCAGGGCAGGCAGGGTGGTGGGTGTCTCTCTCTCTCTCTCTCTCGCTCTCGCTCTCTCTCCCTCGCTCTCGCTCTCTCTCTCTCGCTCTCTCTCTCCCCCTGTCTGCTGAATCGTCTTCAGGCTCCAGCAGTGGTGCTGGTCCCAGTCAGCAGCTTATTAGAATGTGGAGTCAATAACAGAGCCTGTGAGAGTTAATGATATGTGTTTCAACAGCTAACCTCCTTATTAGTGCTACTAAGTGACGATCACGCTTATAAATAGCGCCGTGTGCTTCTTAATTAAAGCCTGAGAAATCATAGGGTTGTTCGGGTGGTGGTGAGTGTGTATGTGTGCATGCACACACTTCTGAGTGATAAATGAGGGGTGTTTGCTCTGGTATTATGACTGCCTTTCCCTAGAGTTTACTTTACACTCTTTGCCCACCCAGAGACATCTCATACACACACACACACACACACACACACACACACACACACACACACACCTTGTTGGCGAGGTGATTTATGGTGGGTACTCCAGCAGCCGCGGTGCGGACTGGAGCTGCTGCAGTGTGGCTGTGAGTGGCTATGAGAGATCAGTCTAGTAGTCTCGTGAATACATGCAGCGTCCACTTAAACAGTCTTACCCTGTAAGCATTTGTAGGTTAGGAAGAACATCAAAAAAGACTACCGCTGCTTTCAGTTCAGATAACTTGAAGAATTACACCAGATTGAAATAACTCCCTGACACACCACCTATACATGTGTATAGAATTTAATCAAATGTGTTGAATCTGCTAAGCTGATACTGAACACCCTTGGGACTGT